CCTGGGAGCTGGGACGCGGGTACGGACGCCTCGGCCACCACTGCTGGGAAGAAGGTGCGGACCTGGAAAAGGCCAGATATGAATATGCATGCGGAGCCGAAATGCTCCCTTTGAGGAAAGTCTTCCTCCCCTATTAAGTAATTAAATAAAGCCCCGAGCTCTACTAAAATTAAAATAACAGAATCCATTTATTCTGGCAGGGCTCACTGGTGGCTGCTCTTGCCAAAAATATTTTTTTGGTTCTTGTCTTTTCAAGTGGCTCTTTTGCAATAAAACCCAGATGCCATTAGTCCAGGGGGGCCTCCAGGCAACTGTTTATGTCCATGAAAGATGCTCTTTGTAATTAATTGATCTCCCAAAAGCTGTAGCAGCACATTCCCCGTGGCTCCTGGCATGTCCCTGCCCGCCAGCCCTGGCAGCGGAGGTGCGTGCTCATTCCCGGGCGCTGAAGAGATCTTTTGTGTTGCAGCCTCGCCACGCAAGGGGTTAATCTCCTCCTTGGGAAGACGCAGCGGAGATTTCAACACTTATCGAAAGGCAAACAGAAGTCAGCACGCCTTCCCGCTGCCCTCGCCCCGCCGCCGGGTCAGCAGCTCCTGCTCTTGCTCAACAGCAAATTGCGGTTGCAGGAGGCTGTGTCAGGGGGCAGGGACCGGCTGGGGGGGGGGGGGGGGGGGCCGGCCGGGTTCCCCCCCCAGGTGGTGGCTGGTAGCGGGTGTCTACAGAAGAGTGTGCGAATGCTGGTGGTTTGTAGGGCTCCTTCTGTTCTCTCCTCCCAGCTGAGGGCAGTCGGGGTTGGGGGCTCCCCATGGCTGAAGAGGCTCTGGGACTCTCACGTTTCATCGCCACCAATTTATTTCATCCACCGTGAATTTGGCCAGTCTGTTTCGGAATCATTTATGCTTTTGGCCTTTGCAGCATCAGGTGATGGCAAATTCCACCGTATCATTATGTGTCTCCTCGGCAAAGGCCGTCCTTAGTGCCAGCAGCGATTGCTTTTCTGTCTCCACATCCTTCAGGATGTGTGAGAGCTCGCTCGTACCCCTCAGCTTGTTTCTTCTCCAGCCTGAACATCACAAATTCATGGGGTTTCCCCTGAGACAGAAACTCTCAGCAAAGATTTGGCTTCTCTAGGACCATAATTTTGCTCAGCCTCTGTGCAATGTGGTTGCAAATGGGAAGAATTGCTTTGGGAAGGGTCAGTCCTCGCTGCCTCGTTTGTAACGTAACGACTCAGCCTGGGGTTTGGTTGTTATTGGTGTTTTTAGCTGTTGTTGGCTTTTCATTGTCGCTTTTTTGATAGATGAGTTTAATTTTGCTGGCGTATTGCACAGGTTTGCAAACCAGATGTTGCTGCCGCAAGACGGTAACAAGAAGGCAGGCAGGGAGCCGTTCATCACGGCACGCGGGTGCCGCAACGCCGCGAGGTCAAAGACGAGGGGTCAGGGCATGGGGGGATGCGGGTCCCTGCTCCTGGGGAGCCGGGGCCGCAGTTGCCATGAGTGCTGCTGGGGCCATGGCAGTGAACCTTGCCGGCGCTGCGGCCACCTCCCATCCGTCTCCCACTTTCCCCGGGAAGGACCGGACCAAGCTGCGGAGAGGAGAACTCTGCTGAGAGCCCGGGAGGAGGGGTGGGTTTGTGTAAGCAGATGATGGTGGTGTGAATCACTGGTGGTCTGCAGAGGCTGTTGGTGTAAGCAGACGATGGTGGTGGGAATCACTGGTGGTCTGCAGAGGCTGGCTGCCGTCCGGGGGTGATACACGGGGTGACGGGGAGGTGAGGGGATGCGATGTGGTGCAGCAGGCAAGGGGGAGCGCCCAGCGGAGCAAACGGCCGCTCATACGGCTCCGACACCTTCCTGGCTTGCCTTGTTTAACACGGAGGAGCTCAGGTTATCCTGAGGCCAAATCCTGCGATCCTTTTAGCAGATCATGCCCAACGCCTGGCCCAGGGGACCATGGACCAGGATGGACCCTGGCCCGAGCCCCAAGCCCCTTCCTGCTCCCGGCTGGAGAGATTCCCAAAGCAGCCTGTGTATAGGATTTCTCTGGGTGGAAGAAGGAAATTGCTGAGGTCAGGGGGCTGATATTGCACATTTTTATGTGACGTCAGCTTGCTGCCACCTTGAAAATGCCAAAAGATAGAGTCCTACATCCTGGCCCTTGCAAATCCCTTGTGCCCTGCAGGAAGGGAGTGTTGTTAGTCGAGAAATTCACTGTTATTCCAGGGAATTTAAGCCAACGTGCAGAAAACCCCGGAATGTGCAGGGTGGAATTTAGAGGGATAGGACATTAGGACTATCGAGGTGTTCTCTGTTCTTGCACTCCCATTGCAAGAAGGGAGCTGGGATCCCCCTCAAGAAGCCCCTTGCAGGCCTTGAATAGGCAAAGTAGGTTGAGGTCTAATTCTAAGTAAATGGGCAACCAAATGAAGTGGGAAATCAGGAATGTCTGTAGATGTTTTGCTGAATCAGAGCATTATGGGCCTCCTGACCATCCACGCATGGAGGAAAGCAGGCTTGGGCTGGAGTCATGAGGCTCAGGAGCATCCTGCCCGTGGTACCTGGGACATCCCCGGGGCACTGCCTGCGCTCAGCTCCCCTACCCTGCCCTGGGGCCTTCGGCACTAACCTGTCCCTCTCTCCCCCTCTCTCAGGGACCTCATGCCCAGGACGCTGGAGGGGCAGATCACCATGGAGAAGACGCCCAGCTACTTCGTCACCAAGGAGGCCCCAGCCCGCATCTCCTCCATGTCCAAGGGCACAAAGCTCATCGTGGTGGTGCGGGACCCCGTGACCAGAGCCATCTCGGACTACACCCAGACGCTCTCCAAGAAGCCCGATATCCCCACCTTTGAGAGCCTGACCTTCAAAAACAGGACTACGGGCCTGATCGACACCTCGTGGAGCGCCATCCAGATTGGCATCTACGCCAAGCACCTGGAGAACTGGCTCCTCTACTTCCCCATCGGGCAGATCCTCTTCGTCAGCGGGGAGAGGCTGATCAGCGACCCCGCGGGGGAGCTGGGCAGGGTCCAGGACTTTCTGGGCCTCAAGAGGATCATCACCGACAAACACTTCTACTTCAACAAAACCAAGGGGTTCCCGTGCCTGAAGAAGGCGGAAGGCAGCAGCAAACCCCACTGCCTGGGGAAGACGAAAGGCAGGACCCACCCGGACATAGACCAGGAGGTGGTGCAGAGACTGCGGGACTTCTACCGGCCCTTCAACATGAAGTTCTACCAGATGACGGGGCAGGACTTCGGCTGGGACTGAGGCTGAAAAAAATAATTTAAGAAAAGGAAAATATAATATAATATATATTTTTTTTACATATCAGTAGAGAGGGAGAAAATACAGAAAAAAAAATAGTTGTGCTGAAACAGGATTTGTTCTGACTTTCTTTGTTTTCTTTCGACATTGCTTTGTTTTCTTTCTCCTCTCAGAGACGAGGTGATGTGTCCGTCCAGAAAGCAGCCTGGTCCTGCTGACATCGCCTACAGCTTGGCTGCTGCTTTCAATGGGCCCAAGGTTTAGCACTGTCTCTGTCAAAAAACAAAAATGCAGGTGCAGAGTTTTTGGGTGTCCTCAGGTCCACCTCCAGAAGGGACAGGGGTGCTTGGAGGAGCTCCAAGCCTTACTGGAAGGTCAGCCAGATTTTGGCTTGCAAATGCCATTTTAGGCCAGACCTCGTTGCTTTTGACAATGAAAAAAAGGAGACTTAATATCTGATTTGGCTTTCAAAACCTTACCTTAGGGTTGGTTTTTTTATTGCATTAAACCCTTGGTGACATTTTTTTCATTTATCCAATTTTTTGTTTGACTTTTGCCACCCCCCAAATCAAGCTCTTTTCAACAAGCAAACTTATTTTTCATCTTACAGAAGCCAAAACAAATAATCCTTTGTTTTGTTTTGGGACAAAACAGCTTTGGTAACCAATAGTGAAAGAAAACAAATGATTCTTTTGACTCTGTGATGAAAACTGCCAGGTAGTCAGAAGGGCTCATTCACAGGAGCTGGCTCTAAACCAGTGCTCCCCATGTGCTACGCCGAGGGCAGGGCTTTTCCTGGGGTGGGGGGGCATAGGAAGGGATCTGGGTGATCGGCGAGGAAGGGGCACACAGAGACGATGCTCGTGGTACACCAGTCGTGAAGGCGATGGGGGACACGGCATCGCACCACGCACACGCAGGGAACAAGCTCTCGGTGTCTGGCGGATGATATTTAAGCCCTAATGAAAAATGGTTTAGGTTGGGCTAGTCTTAAAGCAGTGAAGAAAGGGTTGTTTAACAAAAATCACGTCTAAAAACGGGAGAGAATGAGGAGAAGACGATGGAAGTTTGCTTGTCCTTTCCTAAAGGAGAAC